CACATTTCAATGCTCATTAGTACAATTTAATACATGTGAAGTCACTTGATTTCAACAAGTTCATTCCTGGCCGGAGGGGTGCGGTTTGTTGAGATTTTTCTTTTTTTTTTTTTTACACTAGCTGGCAAATGCGAGCCAGGATGTACCCAGTGCAAATTCTCCCCTTGGTTCAATATATGAGTCATGGGAAGTGAAAATCCCTCCTTTTACCAGCCCTAGGGCAGAGATTTAAGGAATGAAACATCAACTAATCTTTTCTACCTTAACTAACAGTGGCCCAGTGCAATGCTTAGTGGGAGAAGAACATTGCCAGAAATTTCTCAAGTCTCTTGGTCATGACTATGTTGAAGCAAGCACAGGAAACAGCACAAAATGTCCATCCTGTATCCTGCTCTACAAAGATTCTGTTCCATCTCCGATGCAGTTCAAAGTGACACCATTTTGCTCCCAGTTGGAACAGCAGCTCTAACAGTTTTGGCTGTTAAACTTTCCCTTGTGAAAGCCTCAGAACACAAAAGATTAATCTACAAGAGAGCAACACCATGAGAAATGAGACAAATAATGACACAGTGAAATGACCAGTTTCAAACTGAACAGTGAAATTAACGCCACACTGAGGAAAAGAAACGAACTGGTTGTTTTCCCAAGCACTCATAGTACTGTCAATAGTTACTCTAACAACCACAACATCTTTGAAGTGCTTAGTATTTCAGGTCCCTCTCAGCACAGATGCAAGCATTTTGCCCAAGACACAGATGAAAAAAATGAAAGCAAATCTAAGCTGAATCTGTTTATACTAAGGCTACGTCAGAAAGATTTATCTTTTCCACACTCACAACTGTTATACCAAGAATAAACATCTTTTGTCAAACTATAACTGATCATAGGTAATTCCAGGCTTCTGAATCCAACAGCCAGAAAAATATTGATAAAAATCACATCATTTCACCTTTTCTTAGGGAAGGAAGACTAACCCCTCAGTTAGCTTCAACACCCCTCAGAAACTTCAAAAGCTCTCTTGACAAGTGAGGTTGCATTAAAATTTTCTTCATTTATAAACATTGTTAAAACATGATTTCTCAGTCCACACTCTCGCTCTTCTTTCACCATCTCACACCCAATCTAACCAAATGAAACTTCCACCTGCAAACAAACCAAATGTGTTTATAAACCCATCTCACCAAAATGCAGTTTCCAACATATTTCAGTTTTTCAGTGGTCCTCTTCACAGATGCATAAGCATAACCAAGAGGTGAAGAATAAGCACCTGACAGAAGGCATAAACCTTCAGGAACAACCACACCACTGCAAAACAAAACAATACAAAATCCAAAGGGACCTACTTAGCAATTCTCACTGTGGGAGCTATTGGAGGAAATAGCTCTAGCAGATGCTACACAAACTAAAGACTTTTGCTATCCTTGCTTTTCAGAAAAAACAGGAAGAGGCCCAAGCAGTAACTTGGGGTTAGAGGGCACCGTCAAGATCCTAATTAGATCAGCACAAGATCTGCCACATACATAAGCCAGGGATTAGTGCCCCTCTCCAAACACCTGCCTCCACAAAAGCAAGCCAAATGATGGGGTCAGGCAGGGAAGCTGTCAAAAGTAACTTAAGCATTGTTTTTAATTGTGGTATCTCTGCACACTGATCATGTAATATATCCTTCCTGGAAAAAGTCTGGAATACACAGAACCCCTCTGAAGTGCAGCTTAAAATATCCAGAAAAAACTGGCTTGATCTTCATTATGAATACCAAGCCAGACTTCTTTGCTTCTGCATCTCCAAGATGGGGTGTGGCTTAATAATCACTAAAAAATCTGTAACAAAAAAATTGCTTCAAGAACAGCTCCTTAAACAGTCTCCCACAATCACAAGTTCTGTAAAATGCAGAATGCTATGAGTAACAGGGCTGTAACTTTCTGAAGTACCAACTTATGCAGGCAAAAGGTCCTGTAGCAGGCCCAACTTGTCAAATATAAGCCTCAGTGCTGTGAATTAGTAGGGGAATTTGCATCATGAAGAAGCCTGTTCTGTTCCTCCACATTATTTTCTAATGACAATTCAGCATTTGAGATCACTCCTTTCCCTTGACTATTTACCCATGCCCTCAGGAAACAATGATAATGCCCCCTGGTAAAAAGCCTTAATTGCAGAATGAACTGAACTGCTGGATTTTAAAACATGCTTTAAGTAAGGCAGTCTGATTCTGGCTTTTAACTGCTAAACAAAGAGACCGACTCATGTAGTTAACAATCAATCTGGACAAGACACAGAGAGAAAACATCCCTCAGCATGCCACAAGCTCTGTATGGGAATGATCAAAGACAAGCAACATGCAACAGAAATGGTACAATAGCTGACTCTTTTCCTCTGCTTTGGATGTTCTGACAAGAAGTTTTGTGACAGTCAGTGACTAGATTTAGAAGTCCTTAAGAAAATCTGTATGTGTGCACATCAAGAAGAGTACAAACACCAAAAGAGCTAATTTGAACTTACAGACAGAACCTGTTATCATCTTGTAAAAACGTTCAGAGAGCTCTTCATTGAAAATGCCACCTTTCCCCTGCGTCAACAGAGAAGTTATTTTCAGCTAGTGAAAATGCTTTTCCCGGAAATGCTGAAACATTTCCAGTCTCATCAGAAAAGCAAGGTAATGAAGAGAAGTACTTTTGAAGACTCATACCATCATCTAAAAAGAGCTCTCATACCAATAAGCCCAGATTCAGCGGCAGGGCTTAGTTTGCAAATAAGGTTCTGGTAATAAAACTATTTCTGGAACAGTTTTATATGGCAGAATTGTTCATATCAGAATAGTATATTTCTACATAGAAATAACATCACAAATCAATAACTACATGCCTATTACACTTTCACAATAATAGATGTGTTTGTGTAAGTGAAAGTACATTTAAAGCAGTCCAGCATATTTTTGTAGGCAATTCCTGGATACTTACCATGGAGCACATTAGGCAGATTCTGCAAGATATTCCAAGGAAGATATTCATCAGGGAATGCCAGAGACCTGCTTGACCAATTATGTTCAAAATTCACAATGGGACTAGACCCAAGGGCAAGGACAACAAATATAACTTCTTCTTCCAGCTACTTGGCTATAATATGGAGCATGAGCAACAACAAAAAGGATCCAAGAGCAAATCATTTGCATTCAATGAAACAGTGGCACCAGGGAGTTTGGTGAACAGAGCAAGAGTTTTGGAATGTATTTTTCAGTTTCTCAGTTGGCAATTTATGTGCTGGCAGAGCAAGTAGCCTTGTCTAAAACTTGTGTGAATGTACTAATAAGTTGAGTAATTTTACTAGGATTTTTGGAATTTTACAATTCCAAGTCAGTGCAGAGTTAAACTAATCTGTTTCAGACAAATGAAACTCCACTGGAGTAAAAGCCAGTGCATTGTTACTACCAGTCTATAAAAATCAATTTAAGTCCAGTTGTGCCAGGTTAAGTCCATGCCTGAAAACAGTAAAACCATACTGAGCTAAGTCAAGCTCCCTTTTCAATTCAAGATGGGGGAAAAAAAAACTTTTTTATTTTGAAATAACTGTATAAATATAAAGAAATAGCTGAAGTTGACAACACTGTACATAAGACAGCAACGCCTGAGATTCATTCAGAGCTGTGCCTGAAGAAAATAATGGCTGTAAAAATGTTCAGATGCTACCCATAAATCTGCATTAATTCAAATGATTTTTGAAGAAAGAACATAATGCTAAATAACCACAGGAAGAGTTGGCAGTGCTGTGGTACAATCACACCACATGGTCTCAAAAAGCTCATTTGTTCATCCTGTTATGATATTCTCTCATTGCAAATAAACTGATGAATAGATGATTTCCCACTCCCATTAGAAGCAGAAAGACAGTTCCCAAAAAGTAGGAAAGAACCAGATCCACAGACAGCAATGCTGCAACGAAAGATGCCCTCCTCTTCTGAAGAGGAGCCTCTTCTGCCTCCCCCTGCCCTCTGCCCTGGCGAGGCTCCTCAGGAGCGCTCTGCCCAGTTCTGGGCTCCCCAGTTCAAGAAAGACAAGCAGCTACTGGAGAGGGTCCAGCAGAGGGCTATGGAGATAAGAAGGGGACTGGAGTATCTCTCTGATGAGGAAAGGCTGAGCGAGCTGGACCAGTGCAGCCTGAAGAAGGGATGACTTCATGGAAGACAGGGGACCTTATCAATACAAATACCTTAAGGGCAGGTGTCCAGAGGATGGAGCCAGACTCTTTACAGTGAGGCCCAGCAAAAAGACAAGGGGCAACTGGCACAAACACAAAGTTCTATATAAATAAGAGAAAAAAAAATCTTTGAGGGTGACAGAGCACTGGAACAGACTGCCCAGGGAGGTCATAGATTCTCCTCTAGAGATACTCTAGACCCACCTGCACATTATCATGTGCAACCTGCTCCTGGGTGAACCTGCTTTAGCAGGGAATTGGACTAGATCTCCAGAGGTCCCTTCCAACCCCAACCATTCCTTGATTCTGTGATTCATGACCAATTTGCTCTTCTCTCCTACTAAAAGTGCAGTATGGGATTACAGAAGTGCTCACAAATTAAGCCACCAATAAAAGCAGATGAAAACACAATGGCTTAAGTAGAGACCATTGCCTCATCTACTCAGGTTATGCATTCCAGCTGTCATCACTTTTAAGTTATTACCTCATGATAGCCTACATTATATAAAAGACACAAAAACATCCTGCCTTTGAGTCCTTAAGTGATACTTTGCCTCACGACTAGCACACTTTCAGCAGTAAGTAGACAAAGTTTTCTCAAGCTCCAATAAGAGCCTCCAAAGTTTTCCTTAGGTAACAGTAAGATAATGACAATGCCCTACCATGAGTGACAGATAATTCCTATAGTAAAATCTGTGTGTATGGACATGTACATTTGTACACATGAGAGATAAACAAGAATGACAAGGGGGTATAAGAAAAAGCAAACCCATTCAGACAAACAAGTATTTTTCGTAAAACAGATTTACCTGAGACTCTAACTCCTCCAATTTACGCTTCCTGGCATGAAGAGCTTTACTTGGAAAAGCCCAGAAATAATTGGAAGTTCCAATTCTATCAGTGTCCACCATGCCATCATCAACAAGGCTCTGCAGAATCTCTTTCACTGACATCGAAGCTAATAAAAGCAAAAATGTAAAATCAGAACTGCATAGCAGCTGGACTAAGGAGAATTATGAATAACACAAACTGCTACCTCCAATCGTCTTTATTCTCCTCCAGTGTCAGCTAGCTGGAAGATTTCACAAGGACAACATGCCCAAAGCTTCACTTGAAGGGATTAACGTCTCTGAAAGCAGCAGTTTGCTCCTAAACGCTGCTATTCTGCACATCTGCTACCAGATGTTTGCAAAACACTGCTCAGGAGTATTGCACAAAATACATGCATGTTACACTACAACACCATAACAAAGCCATGAGAGGTACCTGAGAAGTTGTTCTGCAATCTTAATTCTAACTTGGATTAACTTGTTTAAGTTTCTTGATTGGGAGTGTAATTACATTTCACTTTGTAATGCTTAACAAAGTATTTCATAGCAGCAGAGGCACTAAAGCCATCTGTCTACAGACTTGGGAAGGACAGATTCTGATTTTAATTATATTCACTTCCAATATAAAACATCATTTACACTCACAAGCATCAACATTTCTGAACACAACTGATCATTTCCTTTCAAACCTGTGGTATAATTCACCATTTTAAAAAAATGGTCCCTGTCCAACAAAGCTAAGTAGTTATGTTATCCTCCGGTGTTGCAGATATAAAGACTTCTGAGCTCAATTACAGGGTTTGGTACATGATGTTCAATTTCAAGACTACAGGGGGACCATAACATTTGGAAGCTATAGGCTGGATGCCAGGATGGGAACAGCTTAGTAATTTTTCTTTTCAGAGTAGCTGGGGCTTAGATTGTGTGGCTAAATGCCTTCATATGCAGAGACAGGATGAATTTGCACTATTCAAAGGTGTTAATGGCTTTAGAAACTCTAAACTCAATTTTACTGCAAATTACAACTAAACATATGCATTGACAAACCAATCAAGACAGCAGCGCAACTCTTCAGAAGCCCACAAATGCCTCTGTTAGCTGCTGACACAACTGAAAAACCCTGCTTTGTGATGTTCACATCTGCAGTTCTCTCACCAAGTTCATTTACTCTTGTGGTGCCACCAAGATAAGCTAGAGAAGGACAGTGGTAACTACACAAACATTATGCTTTGCCTCCCTTTTGTCAATGAGCATAGAAGAAAAACTAATAAGGAACATACAAAACAATCCAAGAGGACAGATAAATCCTCTTTGACCTAATCCTAAATCAACAGAGCTCTCAAGGAAGGTTTTTATAGAAAAGACAGACCCCTTCCATTTATAGCTGTCCAGCCATTTTTGGAGGAGAAAAGCTCAAGAGCACACTACCCATGTATATTTGGACTAGCATTTTAAATATTTGTGATATTACAGGCAGATATTTAATACCTGAGTGCAAACAATGATTTCATACACTGAGAATCACTGCAAGTCAGGCTGCTCAGGGCATAAGCAAGCCCCTATCCCATGTCACTTTTAACACTACAGCCCTGCCACTGACCAGTCTCCCATTCTAGCTATATTTTCCATTATTAAAATCACAAACCTAAGACTGTAGCCAGGAAAATTTACACTGTAGGACCTGTCCCAAAAATTATTACTTGCTCAAAAGAAATAACTTTCATAAATACTTACTAATCCCTTTTTCTTTTGGAGCAATCTTCTCTAGATCCTTCAACTGGAAGACATCTTTCTGTGCAAAACATGAAAGACATTTCAGTTCCAAATGGCAACATCATCTAAGCCTGAGTATTTTTTACACTAAATCAATGCCAACAAAAGCAAGTAGGAAATACACTGTATGTTTTGGTTTTGCTTGAGACCCTGTATATCTCTCAATAGAACTGGAAGCTTCTGAGAATTAAATAATAATAAGAAGCATACTATTATTGTAACAAGCCCTGCTCTTTCCTTTGGTGATTTGAAGTCATCATATTTCATCTCAAGATGAAATAGAATATAGAGAAATATAAAGCCCTTAAATCCCAAATTAGACTGTCAGCACAGATGCACCATATTGCTACAGTGCTCAAGTGTCACAGTAGCTTTTCTAAAAGGTAAAACATGGTGTATTACATGTGCCACCAATACAATTGTAGATCAGCTTTTGGATCTCCAGGTTTCTCCTCCCCCGGAGAAACCTTTCCAACTCTTCTCTCAGTTTTTCTAAAGCTCAGATTTCTTTCTCCTCCCATAAAATGCAGAGGAGAAACCTTTCCAACTCTGCTCAGTTTTTCTAAAGCTCAGATTTCTTTCTCCTCCCATAAAATGCAGTGAGATACTTCCTAATTTCCTGCTGTCCCCTCTTATGGTAACAGACTCAAAATGAGAAGATGTCCATAAGTAGTACACGAAGAATTTTAACACCACATGTGCATCTTCATTCCTTGGCTCCACCTGGGCATGAGCCACCTGATCAGAAGTTAAATGAATGAAGTTTTGCCCATGTAATTTTCACCCTGATGTCACAGGGCACCAGTGAAATGCTTGCCAGAATATAGAGTTCAGCTACATCCCCAGTAAAGCTCCTTTTAGGACCTGTTTTCCCACCAATGTAAATGCAGGACAATTACAAGTTACTTACTGTTTCAAAAAAAATCTCCATCATGCGGGCCCTCTTCTCTTCAAAACTCAGACCTTTTTTCTTGGACTAGAACAGGGTAAAAAAGAAAAAAACAAACCAAGACATTCAGCCATCAGAATAATTAGTATGTGCTCAGAATTCAAATATATTTACCTGTAAGTTATATTTGCCATCCTTTAAAATACCTTACCACTAAACTCAGACTTTCAGATAAACTCCTTCTTTGCAAATAATCTCTACACTAAGCTCATCTATTAAATGGAGAGACCTACCCTTAAGTTTGGAGCCAGCCATTCATATAACCCAATCCCACTCCAGCCTCAAGGCTCCTTGACACATATCAATCCCAAAATATGTATTTATACCAAATGCACACAAATGTTTAATAACTCTCAAAAAGACAAGGAGTACCTTCTGTTTGGTTTAGTTGTTTTGTTTTTTTTTTTTAAACTGCTTTCTATCTTGTGATATGCAGTCAGTAGTGTGAGTTGTAGGCCATTTGGGTTTTTTTAAGGAGTTAAAGAGCATTTTGAGGTATGCCTTTCTTCAAAGTTCCAAACCAACTTCATAATTGCAAGGTCACATTTTAAAAGTCATGCTACTTTTATTTCTTTTCTCTCTGGTTGTGTGACCAAGCATTAAATAACATGGATTCAACTACAGGCAAGAGGCAGAAATGGCTATTCACAAGCTGCTATCAACAATATGAAACTGAGAAACAGTCTCCTCTGGTCACTTTCAGAGATGCTATCTTGACGTGCCTCTTATAAAATTAGGGTATCAAATATTTCACAGAGAATTAGAGTTTTATTAATAGCATTTAGCATAATCCTCAACAACCCAAAAGCAGCAGCCACAATTTGAATCTGAAGTTTCCCCTTGCCCCACTCTGATTCACACACTGTGTGCAGCTACAAAAAAGGGAAAGGGGGATGGAAAGGGCCAAATAGGATGTTGGCAGCAAAAAGCTCTCATTTTAAAAAACAAACAAACAAAAAAAGGCATATTGTCACCTATAAATCAGTGGAAGTGGATAGTCTAATAACAAGATACTTTGAGAAAGACATGGTTATGTTTCCAAGTTTCCAACAGAAAGGAGTCAACACTGTTTTTACTTTTTAATAGCAGTTTCTTTTTAAAAGAACACAATCAGGCAGCACGTAACACTTAAAACATAGACCAAGAGCAAAATGGCCAGAGTGATTTACTTTTAAAAAACAAATGTAAAAGCTAGCTTATGCAGCTGCAGTAATACACAGACAAGAACAGAGGCAATTCAATATTCTATTTAACAAAGAGCACCATTACTATTTTTTAGTTTCCCTCTCTCCTCTTTTAGCCAGCGATACCCTAGGTCAGCACTGCTGTCTCCTGCGATGTCAGTATATCGCAGGATGAGAACCTGGAACTGCCACGAACATTCAAGTAGGAACAGGAACAGAAAGCAGACGGATTTAACTTCCACCTCCGGCCTCCTCCAAGAGCCCTGACACCGCCAGCAGCAGCAGGAACAAACCGCGAATGGACGTGGAACGAAGCGGTGCTTCTGTGCTTGTAGCTACGCCCCTCGGGCGCCAAGTTCCACACCGCCACTCCAGCAAACAGAGCAAAACAAGGAAGCCAAGAGCACTCTCGATGGAGGTTATGGACTTTCACGGCAATTCCTACCTCACTGGCAGGCATTCCCCACCACAAATATTAACGACACCACGAGCATCCCTCTCGCTGCCGCTCCCACAGGCGGACAGAAGAATGCGGTGCACTTGCGATCCGCTCTGCCCGCTCCCACCTCCCCACAGCCGCAGCCAGAGGCTCAGCCTGGCCACCCTGGGTTCCGTGTCTCGAGGGGAAGCAGCGGGCACCGTGCCCACCTCGAGCCACAGCCACGGGGCTATGGCCACTCCCGCGGCTGCCGGCTCGTTTACATCGCTCTTCAACAACCCAAAGGCACGGCCCACGCCGTGCCGCCGCTGCACCCTCAGAACCGGCACCGCGGGCCTCCCCGGAGCGGGAGCCCTGCTCTCCTCAGAGCCACCGGGGCGGGGGGACAGCGAGGCGCGGGCGGCCGTCACCCGCCATCACCGTGTTCGCGGCTCCCCCTGCAGCCCCGCAGCCTTTGCGGGCACCCGGGAAGGAAAGCGGGGCGAGGCGGAGGGCGGGCGGCCCCGCTTACCATGTCGCGGGCGGGCGGCGCGGTTTGATTCCGGCGCCACCGGGCGGGAAGAGGCCGGCGGGAGCGAGGCCGCGTGCGCAGCGCCGCCTGCCGCCCGCCCCGCCCGGCCCGGCCTGCGGCCCCCGCCGCCCTCACGGCGGAGCGGGGTGGTCGCAGAAGTTTTTACTTTTTTTATTTGTTCGTTAATTTTGGTTTGGGTTTTCGTTGTTTTTTTTTTTTTTTTTTTTTTTTTTATTTTACCAGCCGGGTGGTGCCGTAGAATAAAACTGAGGGCACAAAAAGAACGTGTTAACCGTGGCCTGACGCCATGCCTATTGTCATAGGAGGCACGGCATGTGGAAAAATAATGCCCGTGGAAGGGAAGGGCCCGGCCACATCTGGTGGTGCTTGAAACAGTTGTTCATTGCGATGACTGTTCTAGCGACTTTAATTACTGACGGCTTGCTTTAATTATTATTTGTGTTGTAAATCACTTTTCCTTCAGCTGCAGCAAGTTCTGGGAAATTGCTTTGCAACAGCAGTGGCTTCATATCTGCCATACTAAGTCGAGAGTTTTCATAGAAGCAAATGAAAATATGCAAGCTGAGATGTTCAGGCAGTTCCTGTGAATATTTTTCATGCCTTTTGCAAGGTGACCTCTTCCCTGAAACCTGAAGTTCTTTTCCATGCAGCCAATGATCCCATTCCTCATTGTGCACACCGGGGTATTACTAAAAATGAAATGCAGATTAGAAAAGACATTTTTAATACAAAGCTTTTTGTTCTTTGTCATGTGCATCACATTTTCTGCTTGCTAACTCAGGATGAAATCTGTTGGTACACCCCCTCATGTGCTGTTGAGGGCTCGTATTCTGTCTCCCCGCCTTTCATTTCCTTTGGCCAGCCCTTGAAGTGACTATGTCCCCACGCTCCCTGTGACAGTTCTTTTCCTCCTGTCACCCTCACCACTGCAGTCCAAGGGTCTGGGCCCCTTCCTGCTCCTTCACAGCCTGAAACAAAACCAAGCTCTGCTGGTTTTTCTGCTGCTGCCAAGCAAACGGCTGCTGCAGCATTTGCAAAGTCCCCATTGCGGCGTAGGTTTTCTCCGAGCGACACGTATGAGTGGCAGGGTGGGTGTCAGAGCTAACACGCTGCCTGCAGTAGAGAAAGGGGAGAGGAAGGAAGGGTTTTCAGAGGGGCATTCACTCTTGACGTGGGCTTGGGGCGAGTACCTCGTGTCTTCTGTTCAGTACTCATGAGGCAGCAGTGCTCCCATCTGCCCATTACTTGTGAAAGTAGACTGGCAGCAAACACCCAGGTGTCACCCCCAGACAGAGCCAGCACGCGGCTGGAACACACACCTGGAACCACAGCTGGAATGCATTCCTTGTTTCAGAGGTTGAATGTGATCACAGCAACCCAGAGAGCCCATCCACCTCCAAAACATGCACTTGAGTGATGTTGGGGCAAGTGGCTCAACAGGTTTTCCCTGCCCGTGGCCCCTGGGTGGTACCTTAAGATTTAGCTTTCATATTTTCCAGATTCTGCACTGCATTAGTAGATAACTCTGAACTTCATATCAAGTGTTAGCAAGTTCTCCTCACAGTTTAGTTAGACAAAACAATCCTTTTCCAGCCTGAGAACCAAGGACACCGTTGCAGCTTCAGGCCCAAAAGGTATAAACAGCAACAAATTGAGGAGAGCAATCTGGGAGGATGGGACTTCATAACCTGAATCTGTAATTGGACAATGAACCCCAATATGTAAATAGACCAAGACTTATAAAAGTGTGAAATCTCGTGACTCGGTGTCCATCTTGGGTGGAGCCACGGCCAGGCACTTGTACTGCCCAAGGTGTATCCTTTGAAGGCCTTTTAATAAATACCTACTTTATTCCTTTAACACTGTCTAGCCCCTGTTCTAGGTAGCCTCTCAAGGCATCATGGGGACAGCCAGGCTCAGCTGCCCCAAGTGTCCTGGCAGCCCTGAAGCCCTTTCACAGTGTCAGGAAAATCCACAAACAGCAGAGGTTTATGTCCAAAAAGGAGACAGAGGAGTCCTGTAAATATTCAAATAAAGGGTGAGAGTCCACCAAGGCATATGCCTGTGGGATTTTCTCTCTGGAGGTTTCAGAGGGCACCGCCTCCTTTTATCATAAATTCCCAGCCGCAAGTTGCCCTTTTCCTTTCCCCACTGGCTGAGGTAATTGGAAGGTACAGCCTTCCCGAACCACCTACCACATATCCCCCCTCGTACCTGCTGTTTTACCCCAAAACTCAGGAACTCCAGCTTGTGCAGACCCACTTGTTTGTTTCAGGAGCCAAGCTGTCTGGGCTCTGCAACAAACCCGCTGCCCAAAGTTAGTACAGACATTAAGACCCATTTCAAAGATGTTAACCCCATACCTTCACCCAGCAAATTTGTTGTAAAGACATGAGCTTTCCTCTCCATGGCCACATCACCGGGTTCAATTTTCTCTGTAATAGGAGGTTCCCTAACACCTCCCACATTTTGCAGCACCTGATCAAAACTAACTAGTTGAAAGACCGCTGGGTGAAAGAGGTCCCAAACAAAAGGGTGTATCTCATGCTTTGTCATTTGAGGGGTGGTTTTCCATTACTGCAAGAAGTGGCATAAATGACTCCCAAAATACATGAAGGCCTGGCATTTTTTATGGTCTTCAGAATGTCTAAAGGTGGTATTTCACAAAACTGCTAGTCTCATGTTATGATTCTCAAAACAAGACAATGGATGGAAATACAGTGTAAGGGAGACTTATAACTGTCTTTCTCTTAGGATATTGTTCTCATTTTCCTATGATTTTCTTAAGCTTTAACAATTTGGGCTACATTTTCTATTCTAGGAGTCTGACTGAGATCTTCAAATACCGGTGAAAATAGTTTTTCACTGTTCTGGAGTTAGAGAAAAGACAGTGCTTTGTCAGAGTAATTATGCTTGGATGAGATGAAATTTCTACTCTCCTTAATTTTGCTCTTACAATTGACTGTAGCTGAATTACAGTCAGAAATTCTGTTTTGAAAGGACAATAAAGCGACAATGGCAGAAAGCTTAGCCAGTAGAGAATGAAAATTGTCCTAGTTTAATTTTGTTCCTTTCATACATATGTGCCAAAGCACAATCTTAATTACATGAGCTATTTTTTCAGAAGGGAAGAGCTCAAGTCAAATATGCCAGGAAAATTAATTCACAAACACCAGAGGTTTATGACCAAAAAGGAGGAGTCCTGCAACTTAATTCCAATAAAGGGAGAGGCCATGGGGCATTTCCCATGGGATCTCTCAAATGTTTAGAGGACACAGCCTCCTTTTTATCCTAATTTCCCAGCTGTGTTTCCTTCTCTCCTTTCCCACTGGCTGAGGTACTTGAAAGTAGTACCTCCCCGAAACACCTAAGGCCCTTTCTAATATATAACCCTCCCATTTTTCTTTTTCTTTGTGTCTCTGTTCTTTTTCTCTAAATCCAGAGATTTAGCAGAGTCTTGAGTGAGTAACAGTCTGTGTCAATTAGTGGAATTCCTATGGAATTTATGGTTTCCCCCATTGCTTCTTTCACCTCGCTGTATCTGGCCTTATCTACCATCAGGCCCAGTTTGTTTGTAAAGTCACCACCTTCTCATTCCTTTCCAATAGCAGATCAGTTTATTTCTAGAAGGGTAAGAGCAAGCCTTTTGAGTCCTGTGGCTGCCTCCTACAGCACCTGTATGACTGACAGCAGTAGAACATGGAGGACAAGGAGATGTTCACTCCTGGGGGGTGATACCAACTTCTCTGGGATCCAAGCAGTGTGTCGTGGGCCGTGGCCACACATCAGGAAGCAATATGATCCATGAGTATCCCATAGAGGCCAGTCTGTAGCATCTGCTGCCTCATTTCAACCTTGCATGAGCTTTTGGACTGTAAGCAGATTTTCTCCCTACAAACATTTAACCCTTGAGTGAAAAACCCTTGGTGAGAAATGCTATCTGCCCTCCCCCCAAACTTACTGCTTCCACAGCTTTGCTAGGCAGAAGTGAGCATTACAGTTATCCTCGAGGTGAGTAGCTCAAACACTAGGATTTTTGTCACGAGGCATTTTTCTAGAGGAACAAGGTATTCATATGCCTAGCTCAACACAAATCTGAGGGCAGCAGCCTTCAAGTGCATGTAGCAAAGAGCAACAAGTGCTGGGTATCTCCTGCACCAGCACAGCTGGGGCCTGCCTAGGGAGAACATCTGTCCACAGAAATGACATTGACTGTTCCACTCCACTGAGATAGTTCAGTCTGGTCCAAATTAGGGAGCATTCACATGAACAGTCAGTAAAACTGTGGGGAGAGTTAACTGCAGAGCAGCACAGCTGGATGTGAGAGAGAATGTCAGCCTAAGGAACAAGGAAACGTTTTTGAACATGCAATGGTGTGTTAAGGGGTACCACTCTAAAGAGAGAAAGCCTGGCTAAGGGTAGCTGCCCAAAGTACCTGCACCTTTAGCTACTTTGGCCCTATTCTCCCTGACATTGTTACTCATTGGTGAGACTGGGTTCTCTAGTCCTATTTACAGAACACTTAAAAGATTCTGCTGCCTCATTTAGGTATTTTAATAAGTACTACAAGAGGGTCAGAGGAAGTTGGCTATTTACTGCAGATATTTTCTGGTAAACAAAAGCATTCCCCAGTATTAGTGTTCGGCCTGTATGATTTTGCTCAGTGGTGAAGAGCCTCTGCTGTAGTAATCCAGGGAACAGAAAACATTTCTAGCCTGTCAATAAGAAAAGATTTGGAATGTAACAAGCATCTTACCTACTAAGCCCAGTGATTTAAGGATGTCCTGTGCTATTGCTTCTATTCTTCGTGATCATTTTTTACATGGGAAGGAACAAGTGCTCTGCAACTCTGAATGTCAGTCCAACACTGCTCGGCTTCAAGAAGTGATGTTCTTTTAGCTGGTAGACAAACAAAGCCTTTTGTAATTATCTGAGCTTCAGGGCAGATAGACAAGTACATTCAGCACCAAGAGTCTATTTGCTGACCATGACAGAAAACCAAAACTGATCCATTACCT